TTAGACCACAGATTAGACTCTACATTCGAACCTTCCATTCCAACATTTTTTCCCACAGCCTTTCCTCGTCCCACCTCCCTCCCAAATGAAGCAAAGCCAGAGCCACAGGCGACTAGATCGAATATCATTAAAGCATCTAAAGGGGAAACATATATGACATAACACCAATGAAGAAAAACCAGAAGTGTTGTCATTGTTATTTATTAGAATTTGGAAGGGGCTGGAATAGAGGAATTCAGAATTACAAAGATCGGCTGTAATTTCAAAAACCAAGCACAATAGAGTTCCAAGCTTCAGAACTATTTCTGTAGAAAATGAAATTGATTATGGTCACCAGGCAACTACGGTGAAGCAAGCTGAGGGATGTTCAAGCTAGAGTAACAAGAACCATAGGCAGATGGATATGTGCATACACTCTATGCCCGAGCTACCAATAAACTCTCTCTCTCTCTCTCTCTCTCTCTCTCTCTTTATATCTTTGTGTGCGTGTCCTTTTTCCTTTTCCTAATTCTTGTCACTTTATTTTCTTTACTGCGCATCATTTTAGACACAAGGAAAACTTGCTATTTAATACTCAACATACCACAATTGAAGTAATGGCTTGGTTGAATTAAATTAATGCCTGAAATTGGCTAGATTACGATACTTGCCGTGTTGGTCAGAATCTACCCACACCCAGTAATAACACGTTTAACAAAAAGGTAACCATATTTACAAATGGCTGAAGATTTTGGAATAAAATCACGAGACTGTAGGATATATTCCTGAAGATTTACGCCAAATAGTGCCAAGGAAACTACTTTCAGGTCGAAGTCATTAACAGTTCTAAGAAAATATACATACAGCTGCATGTGACCTCACTTCCAGTAAGCTGTAATTAATTGTTGACTTCTATAATATCATAATAGCATATCAATTAGTATAACATAACATTCTATCCACTGTAATATGCTTTTAAGGAAAAGATGTGTAACACACATAAGCCTATTGAATCATAATAGAAGGGTGATAAAGCATACCTTATAACGGGAAGGCAAACATCGCATAAGTTTCACACGCAAGCATAATCCAATAATGGTCGCCATGCTGCAGTGTTCAACAGTAGGCGTGAATGTGACCCTGAATCCAAGAACTTCCTCTTCTTAGACAACATGAAAAATGCCACAAGGAATCAAAACATGAACATATGAAACAGATTTATTTATCTCACCTTACATAGCTTCGCTCGTCTTTTACCTCAACAGCATCTTCTGTTATAACTTTCAGCTCTTCCAGAGAATAGGGATGCTCTGGATCTTTTATATCTCTAATATGGTGTAAGAATGTTAAGGAATAATTGACTTTTCATAGCTAAAAAGTTTCCCCAACTAATCAAACTTCACACTTGCTTTTCCCTTCAAAATGACACAATGAAGACCAAACAGGGCGAACAGTACCTCATATCAGAACCGGAGGTAACCCTACAAGTTTCCGTAACACATGATCCTAATATATTCCATCATTTGCTAGGAAAAGTAAAACAATGTGAACTTTGATTTTGCTGAAATCCCAAAAAATGTAAAACAAAGTTGAAGGTGCAAAAATTGAATGCCCC